CTGTGCTGTAACGGTGGAGGCCCTTTCAAAGGGGCTCCGAAAGACAAATGGCAGGGCTCTTAAAAAAAAACTATAAAGAACAGAACCTGGAAGATGTGGGCATCCTCCATGAAGTGGCATGCAACTCTTTGAACTGCCACATAGAACTTTCACAAGGTACGCCCACGGATCACGTGTCCTACTTGAACAGCTTCTCCTTTAAAATAGTATTTGCGTGACATCACTGGGGCACCCAGCCAATTTTGAAGAGTTTGGCAACACACCCATGTTCTTGGGAAGCGAGTGATCGATTAAACTGCTTCCCGTGGGGATTATTTGCGGTGGGGAAACTTCTCAGGAATAAATATTTCAGTAATGACAGAACAAGAAGCGCTGGTGAAGAGGGGCAGATTTTTCAAAAGCTGTGTTTTCATTACACATGTAGATTTTATTACGCATGTAGTAGATCTTTGAATATCCCCCACGTGTAGTATTACACGTGGGGGATATTCAAAGGCATCATCTTTTTGCAAAGAGACAAGATTTGAATGAGATGTGCTACAAAAGGAGTGGGTAATTTTTCTTTTCTTTCCTCCCTTTTTCCTCCAGAGGAGGAATGTCAGTGAAAGACAATGAATTCGGCAACATTTGGCAACAGAAAATGTAGAAGGGCCTGAAAAAGAATCCATTTTAATTAAAATAAAATTGAAAGCAAGGAAGAGAGAATGCAGGAAAATTGGTACAAGTTTTTGTTTGTTTACTGGATATTGACTGGGTAGCAGCTGCGTTCTGGTACTGTGACAGACGTGGGGAATAAGATGTAGACCTGTCCTCAAGCAGCTCATAGTCTGGGTAGGAAAAATGGAGATCTGAAAAATAAAAATAAAGAACAGATTTTGTCTGGATTTGTTAATCCCATAATCCTAATAACAGATACAAACTACTATATATAAAATAGATAAGCAACAAGGAATTACTGTGTAGCATAGGGAACTATATTCAATATCTTGTAATAACCTATAATGGAAAATAATCTCTCTCTCTCTCCACACACACACACACACACACACACACACACACACAAATAAACTTACTGTATGCTTGAAACTAACACAATATTGTAAATCAACTGTACTTTTTCTTTTCTTTTTTTCTTTTTGGCCGCACTGGGCACCTTGTGGGAATCTTAGTTTGCTGACCAGGGATTGAACCTGGGCCCCGGCAGTGAGAGTGCTGAGTCCTAACCACTGGACCGCCAGGGAATTCCCTCAACTATACCTCAATTTTAAAACACTGGGGAAATTTTTTTAAAAAAGAGAGAGAACAGATTTGGGAGAGGACAGTGTCATGCAGATGGAGCAGGAAAGTATTTTTCCTTTCTGAATTCTGCCACTTCGTACTTCCCAGACTTCTTTTTCTTACTGGAAAGTGGACGTGGCAGTGCTCCTTGCTCATGGTTGTGGAGGGAGAAAGCCTGTTGAATGAATGGAGAGCTGGGTAGCCTCTCTCGGGTCAGAAGCAGAGCTTCAGAGGAAAAACCAAACCCTGCTTGGTGCACCCTGAGCACCTGTAGGGGAACGTGCCAAGCAGCCGCCTGATGCTGAGGGACTCACCAGCCCTCATCCCTGAGGTGACGTGGGAAAGCCTGGCCTAATCTTGGATTTTCATTTGATCTGCATAAGGGGGTGTAGTGTAGGGTGTAGAGCACCCCAGAGCTATGTGCTCAGACCTCTTTCTCTTTTCTGTCTGTACGCCCTCTTGGAGATATTCCAGTCCTATGGCTTTAAATACTATTTGTATGCACCAAGCATGCCTGGATTTATACCCCCAGCCACGACCCCTCCCATGGCCCCTCCACATGATGTATCCAGCTAGCTACTTGATATCTCCACTTGGATATCAAGTGAGCATTTCAAATTGAGATGTCGCAAGTTGGGTCCTTGATACAGCCCACTATATCATTCTTCTGCTTCTCCATTAATGGTGATTCCATTTTCCCAGGGACTCAGGCCAAAATTCTTGGAGCGATCCACGATGTCTCACTTTGTCACCACCCTGCACACCCTGCCAGCTCTATCTAAAATCTCTCCCATTTCATCACCGTTCCCATGGCCACTGCCATCCCCCCCGCCGGGTGTAAGCCAACATCAGTCTCCCCTGGACTATGGCCGTGACCTCCACCTGCACTCCCTCATGCCACTCTTGCCTGCTTCAGTGTCTTCATTACGGGGTCCTTCCTGTACAATACAAGGTAGACCGTGTTACTCCTTTGTTTAGAACTACCCAGTGGCTCCCATCTCAGAGTAGAAGCCGACGTCTCTAAAGCGTTTTCCCTGTCTGCTCTGCCTCGCCGCATGCCCTGTGATTGCGCCGGTCACTCACCTCCTCGCCCGTGCCAACACCCGGCTCCGTGTTCCTTGACTATATGCCCAGCACTCTGCCACCTCAGGATCTCTGCACAGGTCACTTCCTCACCTCCAGGCTTTTCACTCTGTTACTGGGGGTCTCACAGGGAGATAGCTGATGCACTCAGAGTCCGATAACTCGAGGAGGATTGACATAGGAGGCGTGGAGGGGAACCACGTGGGCTGTGCAGCAGTCACCTGGGGTTTGGAAGAAGCTGGCCCAGAGCGGCTCTGTGCCTACAGGAAATCTGTTCATAGGGCATTTCCCAAAGTGGATTCCACACGGGTCTCTGGGAGGTTCTCCCATCTGCTGACTCTTGTTCTGCAGGTTTTGATGAACTGTTTTGATTTTAGGATTTCAGCCAAGGCTAGGACTCGTAGTCCTTCTGCAAAAGGTCCTGAGGTGGTCTGGAGCCTGAAGTATTGGGATGGTGGCTGTCCGGTCACAACACTGGAAATAAGCACTTTGCTCTGTGCAGGCAGTGACCACTGGGTCACAGCTACCACCTGTCCAGCATGTGTAAAACCATGCCCATCAGAACTGATGAAAAGAAAACCAGGAAATCTAAGTGGCTGCTGGAATTAAGGTCCTCAGCTTCACAACCTGCCATGTGTGAGATGGTGGGAAAGGGCAGGGCTTCAGACAGGACTGTCCTGGTGATTCTCAAAGACTGTCCTGAGATACTCAGACCTTAGAAGTACATCCCTTGTAAATAAATACTCTTATCTTTCAATTTTGTTATATGACAACTTGTATTCTTTAGTTTCTGGTTACCCTTAATTGGTAGGTGGCCTCTAACTTCTAGTTTTAAGTTTCTCTGCCCCATGACTTGTTTAATTTTTGTGACATGTAAAATATTTGATTTACTAAAACTCCGCCTTTTTACAAACATCTTGAATAGCCCTCTTTCGTGCAGAGGACACGAGGCAGTGTGCATCTCACCCCCGGAATCACCTTCTTTTTTTTTTTTTAATTGGGGTATAGTTGTTTTACAATGTTGTGTTAGTTTCTACTATACGGCGAAGTGAATCAGCCATATGTACACATATATCCCCTCTTTTTTGGATTTCCTGGAATCACCTGCTTTCGAATTGCAGGGATGAGCTCTCCTCATGGTGGTGGCTCCTGTGTTCCTTGGGTGACCTAAGTGCCAGGAGGATGGGACCCTGTGCCGTAGACCAGGATTGGATGGATATTTGAATGAAGAGTGAGTGTCAGACACTCCACTGTGCCATTTTCCTTTGCCTCCCCTTTGGTTCTCAGCAGAAGATCTTTTCTCTTGAGTCAGTTTTCTCCCGGCTTTGATATGCAGGTGTAATAGGAACCTATCTGAAGTCGCCAGTAGAGACTTCAGTGTGGTATGGATGACCTGTTGCCAAAAATTGAAGTAACAGAAAGCAGTGCTTAAATAATCAGGAGGTAAAGCTGTCATTTGCAGACTTGTGCTCCCACATAAGCAGGTTTGACCACCCCAAAGTAATTGAATGGTTTGGTTTACCCTCTTGCTGTTTTCACTGTCATCCCCATTTCTTGTAAAATGCCCTTTAAAGGAAATAAATGGAGGGTGTGGGCAGTGAAAATGAATGACCTGGTTCATGGAACTTCGAGCTTTTGATGAAGCCCAAGGGGACTAGATGGAGGCAAAAGATGACTTTGAATTTTTCTTTGCTTCTCTCCATGATAAGTCAGAGTTTGAAGCAGAAAAGTGAAATTCGGTACTTCCCGTGACGAAACGTTTATTATGAAACGAACATATTAGCCTCCTTGAGGCCATCCAGGCTTATTCTGTGCACGCTCGGATTGTCCAATGGTCTGAGGACCTGATGAGTCAGTGAAGCTCTTTGACCTGTAGTTCACAACCCTATTCTAAGACAAGGAAAACCGGAAATTATCTTCAACAATGAAACTCTGCCTGTCTCCGTCGGTGGCAAGCGCTCATTTCTCTCAGGTGACATTTTAAGGAGGGAGACAGGGCAGAGTGGAGATGACTCCCCCATGAGGAATTCATTCAAATGTAGCTCTTCTGAGACTGTGACCGTTTTTTTCATATTTAACTTTTGTTTCTCTGCTTTATCTTTCTTCACCAACCTTTGCTTGGTTGGAAGAGATTGGTGGATCGTTATCTATTGCCACACAGACTCAGTGGCACATCTGGGAACAGCTGCTCTGGGCTGGGGCTGGCCGGCTGCTGGCTGACCGAGGCTGGCCCCTGCTGGAGCAACTCAGGGGCTCAGCTCTGCCTCAGGTTTCTTGTCTTCCTCCTGGGTCTAATAGAATAGCCCAGAAATGCTCTTTTCATGCCAAAGGTGGAAACACAAAAGAGCAAGCAGAAATACATAAAGTCTCTTGAGGCCTAGGCTCCAAGCTGGCATACCATCACTTCTGCCTCATTTACGGGCCAAAGCAAGTCAGATGGAGCAGGGAAATTGCCTCATTGTGGGGCGACAGGGGACTCCAAATTCACAGTGACGGGGGGTATGCACATAAGGAGGAGAGAAGAATGGGAGCCTTAATGCCATCATCTTCCGCAGCTGGTTCAAAGAAACGTGCTCACAGCTAAACTTAAATAAAATTTGCCTTCTTTGCAATTTATCTTTTTCAGAAAACCAGAACCTATGGCTCTCTTTGCAGTTTTTCAGACAACATTCCTCTTGGCATTGCTGTCCTTGAGAACTTACGAAAGTGAAGGTAAGAAGTGGAAAGAACAGTAAAAAAAAAAAAAAAAAAAGTGGAAAAAAAAGAAAAAAAAAAAAAAAAAAATCACCTAGGGGAAAAAAAACAAGGTGACAGGTACTTTGGAGAAAACTCAACAGGTCATTTTTCTTTGAAAATTACTTGGAATTGGTAAGTAGCAGTGATTACCTTAGTCATGAGCTTCCTGATCTTGATGGCTCATTTTAGTAAGCTATACCTTAACCTTGATTTCCCGGTCAGTGGAGTAAGCTATACCTTAACCTTGATTTCCCGGTCAGTGGAGTAAGCTATACCTTAACCTTGATTTCCCGGTCAGTGGAGTGAGCTATACCTTAACCTTGATTTCCCGGTCAGTGGTAACTTGTCAGTGAATCTAATCCCAGAGAATGTCATGATCAATATATGGTCCATGGCCATTGCCAGAGGAGCTCCTTCTAAACTTGCTGGGTAGAGATGGGTTATGTGTCCAGTGTCGGCTGCAAGGTTACAGCAAGTTGGGATGTGCCACAACTGCGTTCGTTGAGAGGCTGTTAACCTGCAAGATAATATGCTAAGTGCTGAAATGCTGTTTATGGGTAAAAAAATAGTATTTGTCTCTTAGCTACTCCCACAGTGAAGGTATTTGGCCATAAATCAACTTTGTAAATAAAGTCAATAAGAATTCAACACCATTAAAATGTTTATGGATATTTTATCACTTTGAGCCAGTGTGAAGACAGATTCAAACTTGAGAGAGTTTCTATGGGTTTATAAAGTTTGTGTTGCTTTTACCCATATTTTATAAAGTCTTACCTTTTCCTCTTTCTGCCTTTATTCTTTGCTGTATACTCCCTTTGTAACAGAGGGTACAGGCATATGCTCTTAGTAATTACTCACACAATTCCTGTCCATGGATTCATGAAAATGATGTTTGCAAGAAATATCCATAGAAGTTTTCCATTTCCCTTGAAACTCTGTGATAAGCTATTTGGAAATAAAAGGAAGATTTTGTTCCCATGAGAGCTCAATTCTCCGCCTGATACTCTTTAGGTCTGGGTTTAGTTTTTTATTAGGTTCAGGGCACATGAGAAGGTGCTACTTTTATGGGTTCTTAAAAATCAGTTTGATTGTTGGTTTCTCCCACAATCTGGAGCTGAAAGGTGGAAATTAGGAGGACTCCTCTTTTGTAATATTGATACCCCTCACTCCATCGATCTTACTTGCTAAAATCTAGGCATGACACACTGGGGCTGAGTGGGTGGTCTGTACCATAAGAATGCCTAGGCTCAGTTAGAGCTCCTGATTCCCAGACAGACCCAGGGCCCCAACTCCAGGCTCTCCAGAGAATCCAGGTGTTTAACCCAGGTGTTTAACCCTAAGCTTTTGGCCCAGCTCACTTCCCTAGTGAAGTCTCAATATCTGATCTGACAGCTGTTTACTGTGAGCCTTCTACTTACAAGGAACTCTGCTCTCAGGGCAAGCTCTGTTGCTCACCCTTCAGCTTCCTTTATTTAGATCAGACTTGCATTTACCTGTTTTTCTCTCCACCAATCTTTGTTTCTGCTTCCAGCTTTCTCAGCTAAGCATGCCCGCTTTGCGAAGTGATCCTGCTTTGTCCTCACCTTAACTGCTTGGATTTCTTGTCTCAATTTCTGCTGCATCTGACCCAGTACCTACTAAATGTCCACTCATAGCAGTGGGCTTCTCACTCAGTCACCCAGCCAGGCTCAGGCCTGAGACTCCCTTTCAGATAACCTAGCTTCTCCTGTCCAATGAGACAGAGCCCAGGCTCGCTTCCTGTCGGCCCTGGGCTCACTCTCCATCAGCCAGAGATCATGACTAGCATTTGGATGTATTTTCTTCCAGTCTTGTGCGTATGTGTGCACAGACAAAGAGATATAAATGTGTAGGTTTTTTTTTATAGAGGTAAAATTATACTATATGTGCACTGGGAGTATTTATACTATGCATACTTTAATAAGTGTATATAGTATAAAGTTTATATTTATTGAAGTATAACTAGTGTAAAGTATATATACTTATTACAGTATATATAGTATAAAGTATATATATTATATGTAAAATATATATACTAGGAAGTTATACTATATATACTTATTAAAGTATATACAGGTAAATTATTAAACAAGTGAAGTAAATATACATTAATAAGTTTACTTTCGTATATACTTATCAAAATAATTAATACAATATATGATGAGAGTTTTTACCTTTGACGTTAAAAGTTTTTCTAGAAGTAACATATTTAATGGCAGCATGGTATCCCATCTTACGAATGGGCCACAGTTTATTTCCTTAAGTAGTGTTGTTGGGACCAGACAGAGAAATAGGTTGGGGAAAATAGGAGGACAGTCTGTGACTAGATCTAGGTCTGTCTGATTCCAAAGCCTGCCCTTTTTGGCCACACGCCAGTACAGCGTTATAAATTAAAGAGTTGGGCCAAGAGCTCTGGGTTCTGGTTGGGTTGTGTGGCCTTGGGAAAGTCACTTCCCTTTTCCTAGTTTCAATTTTCTCATCTGAAAAACATTGGGATTGGACTGAATAATCCCCAAGGTCCCTTTATCTCTCTGACTTTCCCTTGGCATTTCCTGCTATTTCCCAAGGATGTCCTAGATTGCTTTCCACCCAGTTATTTCCGACTGCTGTCTCTCGAGTACCTGAGTCACTCAACACTCACCAAGAGCACATGTCAATATAAAGAATTCCCCTTTTGTCTAAAGCATCATATGGCAGCCTTCCAGAGCTTCCAGAAGTAAAGTTGATACTTGTAGGTGATTCCCTCATTCAGCAACCAGCCACGGAGTGTCGATACCATGAGAGGTACGTTACGGTCTTGGTTCCAGTGTGCTGAGTAAGACTCAGTTCCACCGTGTTCAGCTCACAGTCCGCGGAGAGACAAACACAGAACAGGCTATGACAGCACGCTGAGATCAGGGCTTACACGCTGGGTGGGAAAAGCAGCCCTGGGGAGAAGAGAGTGCCAGGAAGGACGAATTATTAGTGAGGCGCTGCTGGTCAGGCAGGCACTTGATATCATGGTGATGCTGGATCTCTGTCATTTGAGATCCGCATCTGCTGCGGGTAAGACGTCATGCCAAGTTCTGGGGACAAGAGTTCGTTCAAAGGTGCATAAGCCTCTGCCTCTGTCCTCCAGGAAATTTGAATCTAGAGTGAGACTGACAGCAACGAACGACCATACAGGCAAGATGAAATGAGGGCTAGGAAAGGTGGGGTGACTTTGCATGCACCCTGCTTCCCTGGTGCTGATGGCTCCATGGCTACTAAAACAACATCCCCCCTGTTCCATAAGGGATCTGCCCTTTCATCTCTCCCCATCTCCCTCTAGTTCACTGTATTAGGCTTGGAAGACACAGGTTTAGGGAGAGAATGAATAACAGCTGTTGCCTCTAACTAGCGAATTGAGACATTTTATTCACAAAGGAGATAAAACCTCTAGCCAAATAACAATAGAATATGACCACCATGTTTGGGCTTTGAGCATTCAGGAATTTCAACTTACTTCATTTACCTTTGAGTGAATAGGGCCTGATACATGATTCACTCTGCCCAAACTTGTTAAGAATCAGCATGCCAATTTATTAACTTTCAGTGAGGAATAAAACTGGAAAGATAACTGGGGCTCAGCCTTTTGGTGTAAATTTAGAAGACTAAATTATGCATTCTGCAGTGTCATCGTAGTGAAGTGAACCAGGTATCTTAATATTTCTTTTAAAATCTAGCATATTAAGCTCAATATAAAAAAAAAAAAAAACAACCCAATCCAAAAATGGGCAGAAGATCTAAATAAACATTTCTCCAAAGAAGATAAACAGATTGCCATCAAACGCACAAAAGGATGCTCAACATCACTAATCATTAGAGACATGCAAATCAAAACTACAATGAGGTATCACTTCACACAGGTCAGAATGGCCATCATCAAAAAATCTACAAACATTAAATGCTGGAGAGGGTGTGGAGAAAAGGGAACCCTCCTGCACTGTTGGTGGGAATGTAAATTGATACAGCCACTATGGAGAACGGTATGGAGCTTCCTTAAAACACTAAAAATAGAATTACCGTATGACCCAGCAATCCCACTACTGGGCATATACCCTGAGAAAACCATAATTCAAAAAGAGTCATGGACCACAGTGTTCATTGCAGCTCTATTTACAGTAGCCAGGACATGGAATCAACCTAAGTGTCCATCAACAGATGAATGGATAAAGAAGATGTGGCACATATATACAACAGAATATTACTCAGCCATAAAAAGAAACGAAATTGAGTTATTTGTAGTGAGGTCGATGGACCTAGAGTGTGTCATACAGAGTGAAGTAAGTCAGAAAGAGAAAAACAAATACCATATGCTAACATATATATGGAATCTATAAAAAAGGTTCTGAAGAACCTAGGGGCAGGACAGGAATAAAGACGCAAAGGTAGAGAATGGACTTGAGGACACAGGGAGCGGGAAGGGTAAGCTGGGACGACGTGAGAGAGTAGCATGGACATATATACACTACCAAATGTAAAATAGATAGCTAGTGAGAAGCAGCCACATAGCACAGGGAGATCAGCTTTGTGCTTTGTGACCACCTAGAGGGGTGGGATAGGGAGGGTGGGAGGGAGACGCAAGAGGGAGGGGCTATGGGGATATATGTATACATGTAGCTGATTCACTTTGTTACACAGCAGAAACTAACACACCATTGTAAAGCAATTATACTCCAATAAAGATGTTAAAAAAATATCTAGGGCTTCCCTGGTGGCGCAGTGGTTGAGAATCTAACTACCGATGCAGGGGACACGGGTTCGTGCCGCGGTCCGGGAAGATCCCACGTGCCGCGGAGCAGCTGGGCCCGTGAGCCATGGCCGTTGAGCCTGCGCGTCCGGATCCTGTGCTCAGCAACGGAAAAAACTAGCATATTATATGGTTTTGAAAGTAATACGTGTTTTCTAAAGAACATTCGCAAAGTACAGAAAAGCATAAAAAAGAAAGTTAAAATCACTCAACCTCACCATCCAGAAATGACTGTTAACATTTTAGTTTTACTTCTCTTTATAGCTTTTTAAAAATAATATAAGTACTTTAAAAAATATAAAATGGAGTGCATAGTTCAATATGATTTTTTTAAGTGTATGGAAAAAAGTCAAGAAAAACATACATGATTTGAACTTGGCAATGGAGTGAGAGTGGAGTTGGTAAGATGCTGGAGATTCAATTTCTGTATTATTTGAACATTTTTATCATGATCATGTATATTTTTAAAAAATTTTATTGAGGTGAAATTCACGTAACAAAATTAATCAGTTTATGGTTAAAGTGGACAAATCAGTGACATTTAGTACATTTAATATGTTTTGCAATTACCACCTCTATACCGTTCCAAAGCGTTTTTATTATCCCCAAAGGAAAGCCTGTAATCATTAAGCAATTATCCCCTATTCCTCCCTCCCTCAGCCCCTGGCAACCACCAAGTCTGCTTTATCTTTCTATGGATTTATCTATTCTGGATATTTCATATGAATTGAATCATACTATGTATATAAGACCTTTTATATCTGGCTTCTTTCACTTAGTGTAATGTTTTCAAGGTTTGCCTAATTTGTAGCATCATTCCTTATTCCATCGAATGGATATACCACACTTTGTTCATCCAGTCATCTGCCGATGGACATTTGGGTTGTTGCCACCTTTTGGCTATTGTGAATAGTGCTGCTACAAACATTTGTGTACTAGTATTTGAGTCTCTACTTTCAGTTCTTTGGGATATATACCTAGGAATGGAATTGTTGGGTCATATGGTGATTTTAACTCTTTGAGGAACTTCCAAAGTGTTTTCTACAGTGCTAAAGCCATTTTTTTTTCTTTTTTTTTGCGGTACTCGGGCCTCTCACTGTTGTGGCCTCTCCCTCCTCGGAGCACAGGCTCCAGACGCGCAGGCTCAGCGGCCATGGCTCACGGGCCCAGCCGCTCCGCGGCACGTGGGATCTTCCCGGACCGGGACACGAACCCGTGTCCCCTGCATCGGCAGGAGGACTCTCAACCACTGCGCCACCAGGGAAGCCCCTATGTGCTAAAGCCATTTTACATCCCCACCAGCAATGTACAAACGTTCTAATTTCTCAACATCCTCACCAATGCTTATTTCCATTTTTAAAATTATAGCCATCCTGTGAGTGTAAGATAGTATCTCATTATGGTTTTGATTTGCATTTCCTTAATGACTAATGATGCTGAGCATCTTTTCATGTGCTTTTTCATCATTTGTACATCTTCTTTGGAGAAATGCCCATTCAAATCATTTGCCCATTTTTTAAACTGAGTTGTTTGTCTTTTAGTTGTTGAGTTGTAAGAGTTCTTTATGTATTCTGGATGCTAGATAAGTGATTTGCCAATATTTTCTCCCATTCTTAGTTTTTTTTCTCTTTCTTGACAATGTCCTTTGATGCACAAAAGTTTTTAATTTTGATGGAGTTCAATTTATCTATTTTTTCTTTTTTGGCTCATGCTTTCATGTCATATCTAAGGACCCACTGCCAAATCCAAGGTCATGGGAGTGCATACTGAGATTTTAATTGGTACTCTAGCCATCCCCAGCACCGCATTTACAAAATATTACAAAGGATGGGTATCATTTTGGGAAGATAGTCATTGATGGCTAATAACTTGGATTTTATGGACACTCTTGTTAACCTAACTTCCATAGAATGAATTTTCTGAGATTTTTTAAAATAAATTCTGAGGCTAATGCTTTACTTGGATCGTGAACCTGTCTACCATGTGGACCATTCACATGAAAAACTTCATGCTTATATCTACCAGGAATGCTTCTCAGCTTATCTGGCTGGGTCCGGAGCCCTGTCCTTTTCATTTGTATCCTGAGTTTGGCAGGACATGGTGGGAGCCATGCAGCATACTTCTCAGACATTCCATTCCATGTGACCTTTGATTGGGCAAGTTACTCCTGCCTTAACAGTTGGCAGGCAGTGCAATAAAGGGGAGCAAGGTTTGGGTATTAGAGAGATCTATACTTTAATCCCATATAACTTTGTGTAAATCATTTAAGCTTACTGAACTTTAGTTTCCCCATCTATAAAAAATTACTGCCTGAGTTTTACAGTGGGCATTACACGAGACAACGTACGTAAAGCACCTAGCACTGTGCCTGGTAAATAGTACGTGTTCAATCTTGTTGTCGCTGTTATTTTTACCTCTCTGTGAGAAAAATAGCACATGTAGAATGGCAGTTTTGGAACATTTTTTTCCAGTATTAGAGATTCTTTCCATTTTTAATCTCAAAAGAACATATTCTCTTGCCTTTTAAACTAAGTGCCAGAGGGTCTCAGATCACTAGGGGAAACCCCCAAAGAACTAGAAAAATGAATGCTGAAAAGATGAAATCTGCTCCACCATGGACCATCAGTTATCAGTTTTTGTTTTCTCTACAGTCTTAAACTTTTCAGTACCTTTGCACCATTCCCAGTTTACTTTAGACTCCCTCAGAAGGGAGTGAAACCAGTTGATTCGGCACACGATTCCTTTTGAATCTGTACAGCATTTCCTCTGCTTATGTAAAAAGTGGTGCTTGGTTCTTCTCCAAGAATTAGCAGTGACCTCACTCACTCCATCAGGCCCCATCCTCTCTCTGGGCTGTTTCCTAGCTCACTGACCTCAGCAAATGTGTTTCGTGTTTGAATCTCTACTCTTTGACAGACTCTATCACACCACTAAATATTCTAAACTTGCAATGACTCATTACTTCTTACGAGTCTGTTGCGTCTCTCCAGCTAGGTTCCTTCCTTGAGCTAGAAACCTTGTCACAATTATTTGATTTCACACCAAGTGCCTAGTCTCATCCGAAGAGTCCAGTGAATTCTTGCCAGAGGTGTTTTAAGTTCAGTGCATTGAGATTTAAGCAATAATGTCTAGAGATGGAACTTGCTGTCACTTTATAGCTACTTTATAAACTATGAAATATTGACTTCCAAAAAGAAAATTTTCATTTTAGATGTCCATAACTATGAAATTTATAGCAAAAAGTCCTCTTTCTTTATTCAGCCTCATTACAAATTTCTGAACCATTTAGATTGTTCAATAGAGTATCCTTTTATCTTGTGAAACTGTTTATCAATTTATTAATTTGCTGTGTATCATTGAGCAAGTCATTTCATTCATCTAGGTCTTAAATTCTTTATCTGCTGAGTGATTTCTGAATTCCCTCCAGGTTTTCAAAGTGTCTTAATTCTAGAATGTATATGTGAGCAATAATTTCCACAGCTAAACAATGATGATATTGAACAGTTTAATTATCTGTGACTATTCAATCATACTCCTATTAAATGTTATTTCATATCTTGTTTTGGCCTTTCAGTCTTGTCTGAACCTTTATCATTAACTCCTGAATTGCTGAAAGTTTCTGTCAATTCTACGCATCAGTGTTTGCATTTACAATGGACTGTCCACAGCCTCGCTTATCATCAGGAATTGAAAATGGTTTTTCAGATACAGATCAGTAGATTTAAAACATCCAATGTCATCTGGGTGGTAAGTATTTTTCTTTTTGGCTCAATATTTTAAAAAATCCTTTTCTGACACTGTGTTTTATCTTTTATAACATCCCCCCAAATCCCAATATGGAAATATTTGGGCAACTCACAATAGTTGTCCTAAATAATCGCATTTCTGTGTTTTTAGTTAAGAGGGTCCCGGACAAAGTGACGTGACAGTTTTGGTTTGGTAGGTTGGATGGGCTATGCTACGAATCAGATCATTTTCTCAGTGCTGCTCTGTTCCCTGTGGAAGCTGTTGGAGTCTGTCCTTGTGAATACTGGATTCCAAAAATCCATGAAGGTCAATCACCTTATTCCTCTTCCTTCTTCCTTCCCTGTCCACCAGAGATCTTCCTAAATCAGATCTAAGAGTTTGGCAACATTTTTCATGCCACTGTGGCTCGCAGGCAATTTTTTTTCCTAATGCTATGCTGAGATGCGAGGAATAAACAATTCTAGCACTTTCTGTCCTAATCAGCGAAGAGGTTCTCCATGGGCCATGTTGGAGAGTAATTTACAGTGTCCTTTGTTGCCTCATATGTGGCTTTTTCTACCGCAAATTAAATTAAGAAAGTCCTGAATTTCACACGCTTTTTGCCCTTGAATTATTTGGGATCGATTTTTCACTTGTCTGGTTTAAATCATGGTTGTGTCTGTTTTGCCTGACGCTTCCCCATCTAGTGCATTGGGGCACTTTGGTAGTTTATTTTATTTTTTTTCCCTAACATCTTTATTGGAGTATAATTGCTTTACAGACTTTGGTAGTTTCTTTCAATTACCATTTATGGTGCAGGGAACCTTAGTAATCTATGCCCACATCATGATCATTTATTAGCATGGGATGTTGAAGGACAGTGAAATATTTTCCCGCTGAAGCGAACAGAGAATTTGCGTTGGAGGGAAGGGCAACACAGGGTTGTGTCATTACTGGGGACCTCCACTTGCTAGTGGACGGCCACTCTCAGGCGCTGGAGGCATGAGTACAGGGAGCCAGGTGGCTAGTTCCTTTAGCGAAGCATAAAGGCTACTAGCTTTAAAAGCTCCAGTTACTTTCTTTAGCTACCACTGCATTTGAGATCTGAGTGAGTGGCCTAAGTTAAATATCATTCTGACTGTTGACTTAGGATTGATACCAGGTCTAGAATTCCACCCCTCAAAGGGCAGCTTCCCACCATGAGAGTTGTTCGGTGTTGGGTTTTGTTTTTTTTTTTTTTTTTGAGGCCAAACTTAGTTTATTTGGGTTCATTAGTTCTGCAGGCCAGGAGACACAGATCCAAGAAGCACTTGCATTGTGTTCCCTGGTGTTCTTACTTTAAACAACAGCAATGCTTATGTACAGCTGTTCCCTCCCCACCGCCAGCCCATCTTCCCACCATCCCGCTCATGCTAATAATTTTGTATTTTCATATTTTTTGTATTGTTGATGGAGACACTGGTTGTTGGACCCAGTACAACATCGAGCAGAGGTCATATTGAGGCTAAGAATTATCTAAGGAAAAGAAATTTGAGAGAAGAGCTGGAGGAATTCGTGGAAAACTAGCACTTAACACCATTAGCGAAAGTAACATTAACCATAGACCAAGTTGATCCCATTCTTTATTTTTCTAAAAGACAGTTCTTTCTGCTTTCATAGTAGAGAAAATAACAATAGCAACATGTGAACAGACAGTTGTTCATATCTGTTTACACCTTTGATTCAGGTAGTTCTCTTTTCAAGGTAAAGCCGCTGGTGAAACCTCCTTGTGTAACCTACCAAGGCTGGAGATGTTTGAGGGTAGAGTTTTGCCTTGTCGGTTATACGGTCCCCATAACACGCAGGCTAGCCTGATCCCAACAGAGGAGAAAACTGAGGCACAGAGAGGTTTGTGGTGCTGCTTTTTATTTTCTTTCTTCTTTTTTCTGTCATTCATTCATTTCACAAAAGATGATCATACCTGCCTATGCCAGATGTCAGGAACAGGAAAAGAAAAAACACCTTTGACCTTGAATTGTTTACAGCACAGTTGAGAAAGTCCAGGACACACAGAACAACACTAAGAGGACAATTTAAGAAAAACTGAGACGGCCTCACCCTGACCATGTCCACACAGAACTCTCCCTTTTCCTGCTGGGGTTGGGTGGTGGAGGACCTGCCACACCCAGAGGAGGGAACTGCCCCTCTCAAGGCAGCTCTGTTTCTGGCTGGAGCCCCGGGCCCCCCACAGGTGTGACAGCCACATGCAGTCTTCCCAGGTCATCAGTCTCCACGTGTCCCAGAACAGACGATGCCCAGAGAAGCCCTTGTCTGAACCTCTCAGGCCTGAAGTCAAGGACAGACATAAGGTCCCCCTCCGGTTAAGGGTCAGACAAAGCAGCTGAGAGAGGTCGCTTCCGTCTGGACTGTAATCTCCTTTTCTTAGGGCAGGTCCCTGTAATGCACCCTCACTCATGCGTCAGACTGTTTTGTTCCCAAACAAGCCAAAGGAAAAGCATGTTGACAGGGGCTGTCACAGCTGGACCAGGGACTCTGAGCTGCCTCCTGGCCGGCACTGGCCACTCAAGCTGCACTACGTGCTCTCACCCTGGCTAGGGTTCTGCCCACAGCCTTTCCAGCCACTTGCTTTATGGTTCCATCAATGGCAGGAGAAGGCAGAGTAGAGTAACAGCTCAAGCTTGGAAGGAGGCTTGGAGCGTGAATCAGTGAGGGATGAGCTCACTTCTCAGGAATGAATCAGTGATCTCGGTTGGACTTCTGTGTAAATGCCAGTTTTTTGTAACATACTAATGTCTGCCAGGGCCAAATTAAACTTGCCACTTCGATGAATGAAAACAGCCCAAACACAGTCATCACATTTTTAAAAGTTGCTGAATTGATGCTTTCAACGAAAAGTTTTATCTCCTCTGCAGCAGGCCTATAAAGACCACAAAGCACAACTTGTGGTTAGACAGAATCCACACAAAGAGTGTCTGGGAAAAACAGAGCTCACTGCATATCAATGAACTGATGAAATCCTTTAGCACAGAGTTTTAGACTGTGGGCTCAGGTCCAGGCATTATTCCAGGCATGGGGCTGTGAGTGCTGAGCAAAAATAAGGAGATGATCACACAATTCAGAGTATCCTAGGCGTGAGGAGTGCAGGGCGCTGACACGGGGCTGTGGGGTGAGATTAGGCCTGACCTTTTTCAGCACCTTGGAGGAAGGGCAGCTGGAGCCAAAATAGGAAAGAAGATTAGAAGCTAATTTAGCATGGAGGGTGAAAAGGTATGTCCCAGGAAGATCCAGCTGGGGTGAGCAGAGGTCCTGAGTGAAAGGGGCTGGGAGCTTTCAGGCCTGAAAGCGCGGGGCATGTGGGGTGGGCAGGACAGGGCTAGACCACACACACACCGAGGGTCGTGCCCAGCTGCTGTTTTATGTCCAGGGAGCAGCGAGAAGCGGAGTGATGAGCTCTGATTGGAAGTCTTAAAGAGAGCTCACTCCGGCCACACAGTGGAGAGAAGTTAGGAGAACTGGAGGAGGTGAAGTGTGACCAGTTGGAAGCAAGCAGTGGGGTTGGTCCAGAGGAGAGGGGCCTGGAGTGGGTGGTGACCGTGGTGACAAGAGAAGTGGCCGAATTCCCAAGAGATGGGGGAGGCAAAATCCAGCCGGCGGCTTGTTGACATTATAGCGAGGTCACCAGAACTGACAGTTCCTTTTATTTATTTATTTATTTTGGTATTGGTTCTTAAATAATAATTAAGAAAAGGTACCTGTGATCGCTCATATTAAATAGTGAAAGTTGCATGGATCAGGACCACAGAACTTGTAGTTTAAAATGTATGTTTCGGGGCTTCCCTGGTGGTGCAGTGGTTGGGAGTCCGCCTGCCGATGCAGGGGACACGGGTTCGTGCCCTGGTCCGGGAAGATCCCACGTGCCGCGGAGCGGCTGGGCCCGTGAGCCGTGGCCGCTGAGCCTGCGCGTCCGGAGCCTGTACTCTGCAACGGGAGAGGCCACAACAGTGAGAGGCCCGCGTACCTCAAAAA